TCCATCAATAAAGTTTAAAAATTAATAAAACAACACAATAAAGACTATTTACAGTAAGAAGTAACAAAATTTAAAATGAAAACTGGTAAATCTCGAAGCATGGAAAAGTATCACTTTCTGACTATTTAGAAAATGACGTACATAGTGGAGGGGGGGAATAGAAGAAGAAAAGAAATTGGATATAAATTAGACATGCGAATGTTTTCATTAGCATGCAGCAATTTAAAGAGCCCACCTCTGTTTATGCTCCCGCCCTCACAACAGCTGTTGAGTAAAATACCAAAGTTTAATGCAGAATATATCAAACTCAAGGTCAGGAACCTAAAACTGTGTTCATTTCAAAAGTAATGGACATAGGATGCCATATAGTAGCCTTCAGAAAAACATTCCAGCTTAAAATGCGTATACGCATCACCCGTCCTCTGAATGCAATCTCTAGTGACGTGTGGATGGGACGCCGGCTGTAAGATATGTTCTTAGGGAATGCGTGTATGGGACACCCGTCTTGAAAGGGTTAAGGATTTCGATTTATGCAGCATTATCTTCGAATATACCCATACAGTCAGAACTGCTATTATTATTCGAAAATTTTAAAATAATGTTCATTCAGGAAGTCAAATTTCTTTTTTCTAACATAACGCATGAGAAGGAAGTTACCCCTAATTTCCTAATATCCAGTCCAATAGAAACTAGCTTACTAAGGCTTGGCTTTTAGTATTAAAAGAACATAAATGTGTTTAAAGCAATTGTGACTTTTATCACTATTCACAAACTGTTAAAATAGATCTATTTTTATATGTAGCAGTGGAAAAGGATCTTATCTTTGCTATCAAATTTTGATGCCGAATGTGAGTGATGCCAGATTTAGTTTTCTTAATGCACAATGTTTTTATGTCTGGTATTGATATATTACTCTGCTGTTCAATTCGCATATGAAACATGGGCTAGGTTACTAAGAAGAGAGAAAATACTTTATATGCTTGCCCTTTTAAAGGCCTACTGGGGATTAGGGGACCCAAATGCCAAATCTTGGTGGTGATGAATTGTTGTCTGCCACCTTTTAGTTCAGGTGCCCATTATAGAGACATTGGATTATTTTGAAGAATGAGATGTGGAAATGTGCAATGCCTTGTCAGGACCTGAACCTCTCGAATATCTGCCTAGTGTTTTACCGTTACATGACAAGGGCATGCTGGAAGGGGGGGGGAATACCTCATAATGTAATTAATTTTAAGATTTATTTTATAAAAGTTAATTTTTGGTAAAATTAATAATAAACTTCTTATCTTTTATTTGTTCATTCAATTTTATACAACAAAATCTTTAATTTTGCAATTTGTTGCTGTTATGTATCTCACTTGTCTGTCAGTAATACCAGACCAAGATGAGGAGTGCAGGATTGCGTCTATTGTCACTATGGGAGAATGCACCTCATAGAATACAATGATGATTTTGCCCAGCTCCAATCCAGTTTTGAAGGAGAACCTCTTGGGGGACAGATCAAGTGTTTCCAAAACACTTGACTTCTGATCAAGTGTTTCCAAAACACTTGACTTCTGCTCATCATGCATTTTAAGTGCCCTGAGGCTTTAAAGACAAATGTAACAAGCATCCAGATTGCTTGATTTGAAACTGGGCATAAAGATACAACAGCCAGCAATTCTGGCCACTGTACTGCTCAGAATGACACACATTATAATTTCACTAAACAAATATTAATATACTTATGTGATTAAAAAAAAGGCAAATGATTTTGATTGAGGTACATAATAAATGGCATTAGAAACATCTTTTGTTTATTACAATACTGAAAAAGATCTGTAGCTGTATTATATAATTTAAATGTTCATTAATGTTAGTTCTGGTGGGAATTTATAACACTTTATTTAATAATGGAGATTTACTTCTCCTTAATTAAATCCTAAAGGAAACAAAAATTAACAATATGAAGTAAAGTTTTATTTTTTCCTTAATATTAAAATTGGAATATTGAATGGCAGCACTTGAGAATTAGCTATTTTTGCAAGACCATGTGTAGGATACATTAAAGATCTTACATTCCATGCAATGATAGTATTTTCCACATAGCATAATGAGCAGAATGATAGGGAAACTTTGCAAAGATTCCATGAAGATGTTTCTGTGTCAAATTATTGGAAAAATGGGACATTATGCAATTTTGAATATAAGTGTTTGAATTAAGTCTATTAGCATCTTACTATGAAATGTGAACATTAATATGATAGACTGAGAAAAGAGTGAAAAAAAATTAAAAATGTTATGCGAACACCTGCATTGGGTACACCTGCTTTTAAAATTTTTGTAATTTTGCTGTTGGATCATATAAGGCTAAAGTGCAAAGAAAATGGTGCTTAATTATAAAGCTAGCAGGAGTGAGTGCAGCGGCAGAATGGTATACTGCAAGCTCAGAGAGTGCGTAGAAAACCTAAACAAATCCTTTTAGCAATCATTAAAATCTGAACTTTCTTACATTTTTATTAGCCCAAAGGGGCAATTTGCCCAGGACTATTAAATTCGTTTTGGCATTTTGTGTCGATTCACGATAAGCGTTGTTTCACTTTTCAAATTGTTCTTACCAAATTACCTATATTATATTTTAAAAAATTAAATAATGAAGAATCTGCATGAATGTATGTGTGTTTATCGCATTGTGATAAAACAACATTAGAGAGAGCAACTTAGAGCCATCAAAATTTGAATAACGTAATCTTGAATAGAATATGGGCATATAGAAGCCATAATTTGAAATTTTTTATTATTGATTTCATATTTTGTAATACTTCAATGAATGTTTTATTAACAAACTAAATGATTTCAAATTGAGCAATAGCAACACTATAGGGAAGGGTAAAAAATTTTTTTTTATCTCTAGCGCACGGGATTCTATTGGAAATTGTAAACATATACTCATTTTAAAATTATTTTGCGATATTGCTGTTGAACTGAAATTTATGGTTTAAGTGCGAAGAACGATATTTAATAAATAAAGGTAACTCACAAAATGTTAAAAAAAAGGGCCTCTTTGAACGAATTCCCCCCCCCAGCAAGCACTAATCATTCTCCACTACCAAATCTGGAAGGGGTGGCCATTTTATTGTAGAAGCATCTAATAGGTGGCCAGCATTACCAAGGGTCAGACAATTTACATCTACACCTCTGGGATTCGAACCCGAGACGTTTGGTATCGCAGTAACAGATTATTATACCATCTGGGTGGCTCATTTGATTCATATTGCTGCTTTTGTTATTCAAATTATTTCAGTTTGTTGTCCCATCAGTTATTAAGTGCATGCTTTGCATTACTGTAAAAGTTAAATACTCAAAGAAATGACATTTAAAGTTATCCTATTTATTATGGTGACATTATGAATCAGTAAAATCTTATTCATGAACAAAGGAGTGGAAAGCTATCTTTAATCTCTTAACACCTTTCATCAGAAAACTGAAAAGGAAATTCTTACTTGGGCTGAGATGATTAAGACTACGGAAAATATTTCCCCAATTCATAGAAATGAATCTCAAAAAGCTGTGATGGAACAAAGAGAGAGATAGGGTAAAGAAAATTATGTGCATACTGGGTGTCCAAAATATTAATGGAAAAGGATGGATTTTGTGCTGAACTTTCTCACAAGCTCTGCAAAAGAAAGCAATGAATTCCATGGTCAATAGCAGATCAAATCTGGGTTTCTCATTACTCATCTGAATCCAACTACCAGTTACTTAAGTGAGGTATTTAGATTATGGCAAAAGCCACAAATGTTATCTGCCTAAAGAGGGATGCCACTTTGGAGGATTTTTTAAAAGAAACTGACTTGTATTCATGCTGTGTGTGTAAGAAAACTTATTAAATTATCCATGTACCATGATTTGTACCTGGGTTGAATAACCAATGTTAGCGATTTTACCAATCAACTCGCTGGCAGGCTCTTCAGTGGTGTAACACGTAATTAATTCTTAAAGCAACAGCTCCAGCTTTGACAACAAATTTATATTTATACTTTTCAAAGAGGGGCATTGCTGAGTGGAATAATTTTCATAGTACTAACCTTGCAGGAATTTTGATAGGTTGCCTAAAATTAAAGGAATGGAGTGCTGGCACATGGCACTCTGCCCATTTAAGAATGCATCACAACTACCCTTCTTGGCCATTACGAATCACTAACTCAAAATTCCTGGATGTATTTTTGGAGCACCTAACCACCATTGACATAAGACTGGCAGAGGTTGGATTCAATTCTCAGCATCCACCACTTCATTCTCTTTTAACTCTTGCAGAACTTCACCTCACTCTGGTGTCACTGCCACGACACTGGAAAGGTATTGGACATTATTGTCGTACAGGCGTTTTAATAAAGTGGACCTAGATTTTTTTCTGATTTGGTTAAATATTATTTTCATCAGAACAACCTCCAAGTTACTTCATGCATACTGTATTGATGAACTACAAAATTATGTAAAGAAAATTATATCAAATATAAAATGATCATACAGAATTTGCTGATAATATTTTTAGAATACATTTTCTTTGACTTTCAAAATTTTCAATTATAAATCAAGGAAAAACAAGTGACAGGAAGGACCACGTTTCAATGTTTGGATCTGGAAGGGCTGTATTAATAATGGCTTAAACATTATTAAAATTACCAACTGGAAGGGGGGCAGAACCTTAAGCCAAATGAAAAGCTGAGTGGAAGAAATTTCTAAGAAAGGTCATGCTGTACCTTGAGCTGTATCTTTGTCTCTTAATTGGTTATATTAAGCTAAGTCAACCAAATTAATTTAGTTAATGATTTTATTTTATTATTATTATTATTATTATTATTTTGTAATACAGAGCATAAAAAAAAAAAAAATGCTTTAAAGCTCATAAATATGTAAGCATATTTAGATCATGTACAAGTAGGATATTGCTTTGGTTAATTTTCTTTTACTGAACAATGTTGTTGTTTTTATTTTAAAACAATAATTTATAATCTTAATAATAATTTAAATATAATTTATTGAACTTCATCTAATGCAACCAGAAAATGGTTTCAATATAAACAATTATAGAATTATACATAACATCAAAAAGATATAAACTTCATATATAGACAATGTACAATGCATGAAATAACATAGTGTTGCAATTTTTTAATCACTGCTCGAAAAGGGAAGTTTGATAAAATATATTTTACTCAGATAGTATTACTATGTTTTTATAAATAAGTAAAATTATAATATAAAACTTACCAATCTTTACTGGCACATATTATTAGATGGCATTCGCTGTACATACTAATTAGATGAACAAAAAGACCATAAACATTAATATACAAGGTGTCTACAAATTAGTTAAGCAAAAAGAATGATTTATTTGAATGTAATTTACAGGGGGGGGGAATGAATATATTCTGGTAAGATAGATAAATAGTTCAAGTTTATCACAAATGTTTGATGTGACTTCCTTTCGTTGCCCTACAAATATCCCATCAGTAAATCATTTCTTGCCACAGCTTTGTCAGCATGTTTTTGTCAATCAAATAAGTCGCAGTGCAGATTCTGGATTTTAGGTCAGGAATGGATGTGGGAAGTTGTGGAGTGTACACTTGATCCTTTACAAAACTCCATACACTGAAATCCAGTGGTGTTGGATTTGGTGATTGTTGTGGCCATAACACCTTCACGACCAATCCAAAATGGTACCTCAGCATTCAAGTAAGATTTAATATCGTTGTGATAGTAAAAGGTGTGCCGTCCATTGGAAAATGAAACCACCAGGCATTTTTTTCTCTGATGATTGGCATAAGGAAAATCTGTAACATGTTCAGGTAAATAATTCTCGTAATGGTTTTTTCCCCGCGAAGAAAAATGGGCTGAAAATATTCGAGGCACTCACTGCACAAAACTCATTTATTTGGGACTATCCCTTTCATGTTGTAGGATGATATAAGGATTTTCCAATCCCCAAATTCTTACATTATGTTTATTTACTTAGGTGAAAAGTTGCTTTGTCACTTAAAACCAATATTGACACGTAGCATATCCATGCAAAATTCTAGTCTTTTTTTTCAGATCATCAGGCTTCAGAGATTGAAGCAAGTGCAATTTGTAGGGTTTGAACTTGAGACACTTATGCAGGATTTTTGAGACTGTTGATTTTGGGATTCCCAGCTTGAAACTAGCTCATGACGTGAATTTTGTGGGACTTCTCATGAATGTTTCTCGTATTACGTGAACCGTCTTTTCTGAAACTGCCAGTTGGCCTTGAGGCGATCAGTCACACACTGTTCCCGTAAATTGACGATACCATGTCATAATAGTATCCTTTTCAGGGTTGTTTTCTTGTATTTTCGAATAAAATTTTGTTTTACTTGCACAGCAGAATTAGTTTCATGGAACTAAAGACAGCATTTTGCTTTTTAAGCACTGTTGTACATCTCCATTATCGTAATGCTGAACAACAATGAAATGTGCACGTTAAAAGATAGTGTCAGTTATGACACCTATGAATAAACTCGGGAAATATTAATACTAGTCTGACTTTAAGCTGGTTAGTTTCATTTATTATTTCGGAAGTTATTAACTTACAAAATTGCCCAACTAATATATAGACAAGCTGTATAAAAAAGTGAAGTATTTAAATAAAAGTCTTTTGTTTGTAAAGTGCAGTTTGTACATTAATAGTCTTTTAAGTAATATGAAAAGAAGAATGATTGAGTTATAAATATGTTAATGGTATGATATAAAATGCTTTGAATGCAGGTAATTTTATTTAACTAGAAGGAAAAATGTGCCAAATATAGAAGGCTTCACAATAACATTTCAGGACTGCTATTATTCTGTTAATGTTAAAATATATATAATTATAAATGGCCCTTTTCTCTTACAGGACATAAAAGAATTCGAGAAAATGAAGATTTGTCAAATTCCAAAAACCTGTAATCAAAGGTTCCTCTTGTCATAGACTCCCATATGAAACAAAAAGTGAACAGCTTTATTATCAACCAGCCATCTTAAGGAAATTATCATGAAATTTAACTGTGCTTTTATCTACCAACCACTTAATGAAGAGGATTCACTGTGTGAATTCCATATCTGTGACAACAGAGCACGTTTCCTCACTGATGATAACACACTGACAATATACTAACTAGGAAACAGTTCTTAGTCAAGTATGGGATTGCCTGGCTCAGCCATCCACACTGTTCCAGAAACTTGGCTCTCATCAATTTCTTTCTGAACTAGCACTGATAGGTAATGTTTCACAGATAATGACATCATCAAGATAAATTTGACCTCTAAATGTTACAATATTCCAGTAAATGACTTGATTCAGTTTTGAACATCTGTTAAGGACAATGAGCTTTGTGCATTGAGAAGGATTATTCTACATAATCCTTACTTATAATACATATTATTGTTTGCTGCAGTGATTTTTAACCTTACTTGCACAGAGTGGACATAAAACTGGCTCACAAAATGTGTATAATTCTAATACTAAATTTACCATTGTTAAAGAACAGAACTGCTCTTCACTACAGAAGCCGTTTCACATTGTTTTGTCACTAAGTTTTCCATTGCCTATTTTGCTGGAGCTTTTGCCTAAACAAAGTCCATTCTTAAACACTTGCTCAAACAGTTCAGTATGCATTTTTCAGAAACTGTGTTTTGCATAACAGTCAACAATGAGCATGTGTTGTTTTATCATTAGCACCATTTTATGTTATATTTAACTAATTATCAAACAATGCTAATGGTCTGGTGGTGGAGTATTTGCATTCTGATAAGAGTCTTTTAACATTTGCATGCATTATCTATGTTTGCTGCGCTGCATCCGTGCACACTCGTTACAGCACAAGTATAAAGACCAACTCACCGAGAGACTAACTTGCACTTGAACTTCACAGTTCCTGCTTGTTCGTGATCGAGGGCTTATCATCATGTATTAAATTTCATAATTTACCTTTTAATTTTAAATAAAGTTAATTTTATGGTTTACTAAAGTCTTCGGGTTTCCTTATAATAAAACTTCTGACAAGTTTGGAGTATTATGGCATGAAACCACCACCACAATCTTACTGCTGTTCGAGTTTCATGAAATTCCAAAATATTTTTCTGGGCCAGTTTTATTTTGGTAACTGCACCAGCAGCAATCGTGGAACTTTAGTTGTGGAACCTTGTATAGGTTAGAAAGATCACCAGGAATTCATGATATTTTTTTTGGATAATGCAATAAGCATAACAGTTACAGCCATGTTAGTGATTAGAAAAAATATAAAAAATATTTCACTTTTTGTAGTTGTTCAGTGGCACATGCATGCTGTCACCGGAAATTCCCATTATGATCGCCTTCTTTAAATCCAACACTGTACAAATTTTGCCTTTTTACCTGCAACTGTCTTAAAGAGTAAATCACTAGCAGCATTCAAACAATTAAATACTAATATGATATACCATGCATGAGAAAAAATGGACTTCAGTATAGATATACACAGAATAACAAATGTGTTCATATTAACACATTACATGAGAAAAAATGAATTTTCTTATGCAATTAAAAAAATCCAGTATAGTTTATGCACTTTTTTTTAAATCTGAACTTTTATTCCATATAATATATGCTAGGTGTATGGATGTTTATGCATAGATCTATCTGTCTAATGCAAAATAAAAAATATGATTAAATTCATCCCACATTCAATTCAAAATAAACATGCAAAAAAACTTCAAATACTAAATTTACATAATGTTTCAAAATAAACATGCAAAAAAGCACAGTAGCAAACTGCAGGAAATAAGGGTGCAAGGTGTTGCAAAACCAAAAATGAAAATGAAATTTAAATCTTTTCCTGCATTGTCATCAACAAAAGAAAGTAAATGGTTTCTTTCCAAACATACAACTTTGCATGTAGTTTATTCCAAATTGAATACGGGAACAATTTCAAATGTACCTTTTATTTTATTTTGCATTATTACCACCACTTGCTGCTGCTATCAGTGTGCAACTGGATTAGGTTTTGAATTGCTTTTTACTTTGTATTTATTCATATATATGTATACAGGGTTTGAAATAATGGCTGGCAGCTTGCTGTTGGCGACTAAGAAATTGCAGCTCACGAGTGAGATGTGATAATCTTGGAAAAGCATGGTTAATACTTCCCACAATTTATTTTCTTGATTTTTTTTTTTTAACAGGCTATGTTCTATTACATTTGTGCCATATTTTCTGTTTCCAAATATAAAATAAATTTCTTTATTATGTGATTTATAGTTCATTGCCACATAAAATGCTTGAGCAGTAGGTTATCAGTTTTGCCTGTGAGATTTTCAATGTGCATTTTGATTGTCACTTGTTAGTGCAGGGAATTGTTGAAAACATACGAAAAAAGTTTGTTTTGCCATTCACATTTCATTGTTTTGTGTTGATTATATATGGTTGTGACGCTTCTAAAATATTCTACCAAATCTTATAGTAGCCATTAGCCATTTATTGAAATGATAGGTGTCTGCTAGTGAATTCAAGCAAAATTTCTTCAAGTGATCATAGCCTTGAGAAATAAATAAATATCTTATTTTTCAAGAAAACGAATTTGTCAAGAGTCTTCTGTGTATTGTGGCTGCAAACGTTCTGAACAGATTGTGCTAAGTAAACGTAAAGGAAATTACACTAATATCGATTGTGATGCTGCCAAAAAGGCTGAAAGCAAGAGACATTTCAGAAAGCAATGGTGCAATAAATTAAAGTGGTTATCATATGAAAAAGACATCGCTTGGTGCAGAGTGAGCACAAACGTTACATAAATACTCATGGGTTGTGTAAGGTTTCAGTAGGTCATTCATATTAGAAACTTTTTTTCTTTTGCAATCAATCACACATGCACAAAGACTGCTTACTGAAAAATATAGCTGTAGAAACTTCAGACACTCCAGTTTCTGATTTTAAAGATTTGGTTAAGATGCTCAATGAATTGAAAGTAAGCATTGGTCTCAACAAATATCAAAATAATATATAATGCAGGGAGTTCTCATATTGTACCTGTTATGCATATAAAGGTTTTTGCAGAAATTTTAGATTATAGTTCTGTTACCATTCTTTTGGATGCATCAACTGATAAATCTACACAGGAAATAATATATGTAAGGCTATAAAAGAGTTCTCTTCAATTATACCTAATAACTCTTCTTCCTTATTAGGTTATTATGAAACTAGATCAAGAATTGTAAAAGCTAGGAATCAATTGGCAGGGAAGAAAGTGAATATTGGAGATTGGAACAGATGGCCTGGAAACACGATCGGAAAAAGGGCATAAAGGTGCTTGTAACACAACACAGTATTACACACAAGTTAAAAATTTAAGTGTATTGGATTTGGTAAAAGACACAAAATATCTTCATGAACTGAGCGGTATTCTTAAGAAACAGTATAAATTTTACATTACCATATTTGCCGGCTTATAAGATGCACCCCCTTTTTATACACATTTTTGAAGGATAAAGCTTTATTATTATTCAATAATTTTTTTCTTCTTATTCATCTGGTATCTTTTGTGATATTTTTGTTTTCGTCCATATACATAGCTGGTGTCTCTTCATGAATCTTGAACACCATGATGTTGATCCAATAAAATCGGCAATCTCTCTATCAGTCGCTATCTCTTTCACTTGATGAATAATCATTTTTATAGAGACTAAAAGGTCCTGCTTTTCTGTGGTCTAAAATCCCAGTATTCAGCTTTGCCTCAAGTTCAGGCCATAGGGCAGTTCCCCTTTGTAGGCTATGTTTACTGCGAATTGCTTATTTTAGATCCTCTTCCTAATTCAGCCAAGTTCTTATCATTTTCCTCAGTTGGAGGTGGTGAATGCCTCTCTGTAGCCCAGTTTCCTTGTTCTTTAGCATACCCAATCACAGATAGCTTGTATGCTATGTTATAACAATGCCGACGCGGTTTTTGAGCCATAACTTGCCAATAAATTTAAGAAAATTTAACAGTAGAAATTTCACACATCGTTCACAAAATTCATTCGTTCAGTCATTCACAAAAATTGGAAAGTTTAAACAAACCCAGCTGTCATTGTCCACACAACGCATGCGCATTCACTGAACTTTACGTAACTGTAATACTTCCACACTCCGCAAAGAAACAAGAAAAAAACTCTGGATATACTCACATAGCTCCGAATAAACTGTGTATTGATGTATAAGATGAACCCTGTTTTCCAGACCTTTTTTCAAAGGGAAAAAGTGTGTTTTATACGCTGGCAAATATGGCAATTCTCCAAAAAGACTAATGCAACTAAACCAAGTTGCTCAGTTGCTACAGTCAAAACTCCGAAAATTCAAATATTTACATCAAATTCAAAGGATATCAAATTTAGTTAGTGCCCTTCTTGCTCTCTTAAACAATTATGATGTAGTGGTTCTTCGTTTAGAAACGAAATGAAAAAGGAAAGGATGCTGTTGTGGCCAGAGGATTTTTAAAACAAAAAAATTTCGACTTGTCTTTACTTTATATTTCTTGCTAGATTTTCTTTCTATATTCGAGTAACTTTCTCCCGTTTTTCAAGCAGAAATCATGATTTTAAGCAGGGTAGAGCTTTGTATTTGAAATTTTAATGACGTAGTATCTAAACCAGATGTATATGAACAACGGTTTGTTAATCCAACTTCTATTAATTGGAAGTTTAGGAACATTAAAGCTTATAAACAATGATCGCCAGTTTTTTGATTGAAGCAAGCGGAAAATAATTTCACATGGAATAAAGCACCTCAAGAAACATTTTTGTAGGATGGGATGTGAGTGTTATAAAGGCAACTGCTGTAGTGCTGTCTTTAACACATTCATTTGACCTTTTGACAATCTGAAAAGTTATGGAAAGGGTGAAACTGTGACTTTATACAATCACTTCTAAGGATATCTGCCATTTCAAACCCACTCTTCTCCCACTTGAAATCTTTACAGAACTAATGGTATGTATGACATTCAAGTTTTAAAACAGCATGCAGAAATACATAAATTTCTTTCTACAGCAAATTCACACAAAGAAAGATTTCTTTCAGCCAGTTATCAATAGTTGCAGTTATGCATCTTCCAGTGAACAAGGTTTTTAGCCAAATTAATCTCATTAAGACTAATCTTAGAACATGTATCGACAACGTAACACTCGATACCTTCACTGTTAGATGAAGATGATGCAGCTGAGATACTGTGTAAAAGGTTAACAGTGCTGCGGTGACTCTTACTGGTAAGTTTTCATTATTTGGGGGGGGCAAGGGGAATGGCAAACAGAATTTCTTTGGCTACTGGAATTTTGAAATCATTTCGAGCCCTGCACACATCAGAACCTGCATGAAAAATTTTCTTATGCATATTTCCCTGGCTTTGAAATAATAATTTTTATGCGGTCCTCTTCACAATAACTGAAATTTGGAAAATCTGCCAGAAATTGTCAATGGATTTGACTATATCTACATGTAGGCAGGCGTATGGCTCAGAATTCAGCTTTTGCATTTATTTGTTTAACACTACTTCATTTATAATATTTAGCTGTCAACTCTCCCCCGTTTTTAATTGACACATCTCCGAGTAGATGACCATTTCTCCCTTTTTATTTATTATTAGGGAAAGTGTTTTTTAGCAATAAAATTAAATTGTGCAAATTTTATTCCACCATCTCTATTCAGCTTATTTTTTCTTATTAAATTTTATTGATCTGAATTGCCTTAATTAGATTTTTGACATTTGCAAAATTTAAACGAAGATTCAACCAAATGTTTAATCATTAAATATTTATATTTTTTTAACATCAATATGTAAAGTCATTAGGCCCATTTCAGAAGAGGAAATAATTTTATTTTTATCATATTTAAAAGTACTAAGCTTTCTTCCCTACTCAGAATTTTCTCAATATAAAAGTGTAGGAAGACTACAAAATAAAATTAGCCAAAGAACATGAAACTAAAAATATGCAATTAAATATTAATGTGTTTTATAACAGAATCATATTATAAGTAGTTGAATAAACTGAATAATATGTTTTAATGTGAATTTAAATCAATTTCGAATTCTTTTAAAATGCTGTGCATCACATAATCAAAGCATACCGTCACACATTTAAATCAATTTTGAGTTCATGGCCCTGAGCAAAAAACCTTCTGGTTTTTCATATTTCAACACTGGCAGCTATGATATAATAGTACTAAGCATTTTTAAAGGGTGGCAAACTTTCAGTGAAATACCCAAAATATATTTTTTAATCTGTGAAATTTACAATTTATTGAAATAAACTTATTCTATTATAACAAATATTTTAAAAATGTCTCTAAGCATGACATAATAACACATAAATATAAATTAAATTTTAAATACTGCAATTTTAAAATTTGTATTTTCTCTCATGAAATAAATACTAACTTCTAGCACATTGTATTACAGCAAAATCACCCGAAAATTTCCAATTTGTAGAAATTTTACTTAAATTTTCAGAAATTCCAGCTTTTAAACCAACTATGACATCAGCTTTAACAGTGCGCAAAGAAACTATTGAAGTGGGTGAAAATCCATTAAGGGCTTCAATGAATGGCGTAGTTTCCATCCATTGTCTATCACCTGTTAATTTTCTATAATTAAGATCTCCTTTAAAAATCACTATATGACTTTGACTTAGTTTGTTATACAGGTTAGCATCTGTTGTCTTCATTTCACTGCAATCATGAGGAAGAGTCCAAAATATTTCCTTTTCAATAGTCCATTCACCTGACCTGAATTTTTCAGACCATTCTTTACTGTATTTAATTAGAATTTCAAGATCACTCTCGGATAATGTTTTCAGTAGCCATTCAAAGTCATTTTGAAGAGTGTCTGATACAAACCAGGGCATGCATTTCACATGGAATCGTATTTTCTTCACTAAATTTGTAGCTTGTAAGAAGTGCATGAAACAAAGATCACCAAACAATTCAAAACCAGCATTATCTAACACAATATCAATTTGTATTTCCTTGGAGGTATTATTAGCATCTTGTAAAATTTGCCACACAACTTCAGTATCATCCACAATGATTTTTTCTTTCATCTCCTCTAAATGTAACAAAGGATTATCATGAACATTTTCTTTGCCACATGAAATAGACAAGTCCCATTTATTGCCCCATAGGGCTACCTGTAATACCAATTATGCAAATTAGATTACATGCCTAAAAATTTAGTCATAAATAAATTACAAATAAACCAAAACTGCTGTTTAATTTTGGTATTTTTTATATTAGATATGTTTAAGAAAATTGGATGCAATAATATAGAATATTTTAATGTTTATGCATTGTATTTAGAATTTATATGATGATCAGAAACTTAAAATTAATTATTCTAAGCACACAAAATAATTTCAAAGTGCAAAATTTTATATAAAATAGCAAACAAAGTAATAAAAAATATAAGAATTTTAACAAATTTTATACAGCCTTGTTTTGAAACAGTCTGTTGATCTTTATGAGTTAATCTATTAGGTAATGCAAATCTACTACTGCTGTTACACCATATTATCTATATTTAAAATATCTCAGAGATTACATTTCATATAAATTGGCAAATGTAACTCACTATGCATATTAAATTTTTAACAAATGTGGTAAAATAATAACCAAATAACAAGGTGTCTGAAATGGAACTATCATGCTACCATATTAGAACCATATTTTAATTCCAGTTCTGTTGCAGAAAGTCAGCTACAGAATGTCACCAAATCATGTGTATAGCTTTAGGTACTAATGTATGACACTAAGAAGTAAGTACGACTAAAAAGTAAGTACTAATGTATGACACTGTAACATTCATATGACACTAAGAAGGTTTGATACCGAAAGTTCAAAAACAAGGACTATGACATTCAAGAAGCAAAGCACTCAGGCCAGCCTGTGAGAACTGGTAGAAGATCAGTATGCACCCTACTCGAGAGCTTACTAAGGAGTTAAGACATTACTGCCATATCCATTAGTCACGCTATGCATCACACAAACTTGACATACAAATTCAATTGCTGGGTGCTGCATGAACTGACTCATGCAGATAAGGACAAAACGTGTTTGGGCCTGCACTAATTTCCTCGAATATCAATGGAAGGACAAAATTCTGGACCGGATCATCACTTGTGATGAAAAGTGGATTTACTTCAACAACACAGGGGGATTTACTTCAACATATAAAAGGGGGTTGATCTACGCCTGTTGAGCCCGTCAGCAGCGTCACAAAGGAAAAACATTGAACTCGAGTTCTGGCATAGAAAGGTAATGTTCCATCAAGATAATGTAAGACCAAATGTGTCTGCATTCACAGGCTGGACTCTGCGGACACGAATGGGATCTTTTGCCACGCCCACCATATAGCCCCAACATCGCTTTTTTCACACCTGCAGCTACATCTTTCTAGTGTTATCTTCCATTCCGCATAGGACATCCCAAATGAGGTTGATCTGTTTTGTACTCAGAGATGTGAAGCTAAAAGCTTTTATAAACTACCAAAATGTTGGCAAAAAATCATAGATTTGGGTGGCATATACTACCTACACTAAAGATACTACCTTCATGATCTTTTTTTCTAAATTTATCAAGGATGTTTTTTGGTTACTTTCGTTACAACCAGATATTTGTCCAGATGAGGTAACTTGTCCCAGGATAAAATGGCATGCATCCGATGTGCCCTTGGGCAAGTGGTGTGCTCTGAGTGATCACTTTAAGAGATAAAGTAATTTTTTATCTTGTACCAGTTTTTATGGTAACAATTTAAAATGTCACTAGTAAATTTTTTTTTTAAAATCAAATTTATCACAAAGTTACAATTGAATCATTTGTCACTTACTGTTTTCTAGTCATCTTCTTTATTTACCTTTCTAGCATTAAACCACTGATATTTTACTGCATAAGTTATAACATAATGCTATACCTTTTACGAAATAAAGAAAAATTTTAATATTAATTTTTAGTTAATTTTCAATATGCCACAAAAAAGGTATAGAGAAAAGAAAAATTAAAAATAGAAATAAATGGTCCTACCTGCAAGAACATTCTAAAGGAGTTATAAATATCTTCTTTTGAATCTCTGTTTTGAAACTTCAACAAAATGTCATTCAAAGCAGATAACAAATATACTACAGAATCCATTGCAGATAAAAATGATTCATTCTTCTGCTTTCGAAAGGGATCATATTCTTTCAATGCAGAACTAAAATATAAACATATTTTTAAAGCCAATGTCCTTTATTAACACATTTTAAAAATATATTAAAAGAAACATATACATATCAACAATGCCTTTAATGCAAAGTATTTTTAATGAACTGATTTTAATTTATATGTAGTATCTTTTAATTATTTATTTATTTTTTAGATGGCGAAGAAATAGAAGAATCTTGGATATTTGGTTTAACACGTTGAATTGATAATATCTAGATCAATTATCATGAGCAACAAATGGCCTTCTATAAGGGACTGGGCCAAATACAATATGGTTGGCAAAATAGAAACCACTGAAAGAGTTTTGAAGCTAAAGATTCTATACAATATGTGGAGGACTGCATTGCAAATTCTTCTATGTACCTCACAGAAGCATGGTAGAAATCCATTAATTCAACAATTAAAAAAAATAAAGAAAAGAAACAATAGAAAGGAAAAATTCCTATTCAGATTAGGATACATTGTATATTACAACAATACTCTTTTTTCTTTTGCTTTAGCAAAATAGAATCAGGAATACAGTCAGGTACAACTTCATTGATTTCAAAATTTTGTTTTAAGATTTTACCTTAAATGGTAATAAAAATATTTTTCCCATCTTTTGCTTCTGAGACTTTTCTCAAATGTTACTTATTAATCAAGAAATACATTTTCCTATTCAAGGCTTACAAATGGTTACACTAGTACAAAAAACTCAGCATATTCTTATCAAATACTTCCACAGCAGTGGATATTTGGTTGATTGTGCAGACAGACTGACAAACATTTTATTATAAGAATTGTAGGTAGAAGTGTGGCTCGGAATTCCACACTGACAATTGGTGCAACAATGGCAAGATTTTTGCCATCTTTTCTGATCAACAAAATAATGTGCAAGTATCAAAAAGTTAGATTTCATATTTTTTTTATGTAATTGAGATTTAAAATTATCAGAAACATGAATACTTGTGTAATTTAAAACATTTTTATAATTTGAGGTATATGTCTACAGCCAATACATAAAATAAAGGCCAGGTAAGAACTTTTCAGGACATGGTCTATATTTAGTTAAAAAAACCCTCAAAACTTAAATTAGCAATAAATGAATTATTGAAAGGCTTATTTAAGTAACTTGTAAGAATTTCACTTTTTTAAGCCAATATTATCATTTTATGATGGATGAGATTTTTTACGCTACAATTAAATTGATTATTTCACTCAGATTTAAAATAAAATTCATATTCCATTCATAAGTACTTTTAATTGTAGGAATAGTGAATAATGCAGTGATGTGAAAAGATGTCAAAATGAATACAGCTACTTGGCATATGATTTTCCAAGGAAATGTATACTGGCTCTTAACAGTTAATTATTCCAGAAAGAATTTTAATTTTGTAATTCCTGAAATAGTACGAGTCATTACAAATATTAACAAGAACCAAATGTAACTTTACATTTTGCATCCTTGAATGCACAATATTTTCTAATTAACAGAAAAAATGAAATTTGTTTGACAGATTAATCAACTAAATTGGATAGGTGAAACACCACATCAATATTCTAATGCAGTGATAAGTTACAGGCTCAACATTTTAACTTTGCTTTTGCTTAGCAAATTCAAAGACAGCAAAATCCTTCCTGGATGTCAGAAAAAACAAATATACACGACTTATTACAGTCATTAAAAATGTTTTGAATTAAAACTCAAAAATAAAATAATTCTGCATTAAATTATCATAGTAAATTTGTTCTGTATTGTCTAATGCAGCAGTCAGAACAGCACATATTTTTATTTTAAAATGTGTTTCTGTAATTTATGGAAAAAAGAAAATTGAATTCATTAAAGGAATTAAAAACTGAAAAAATTTACTTCTGAAGTTTTCACAATTAAAAAAGCAATTTACAATTACCAAATTTGATAAAGCATGCAATAATTTCAGTATTTTACAAAAAAAAAAAAAAAAAAAAAGTTCAACAATTCACTAATTGAAGATGGGCTGAAAAATTCTGCTACCTACAGTATCTCCAAAATTAAAGAAAGAACTATTATTAACAAAATTTCTGCCTTTCATAAAAATGGAAATTTCTCTTTTTGCTAAAAATGATAGATTTCCCAATCTTTACCTAAATTTCATAAAAATCCTGTCAAATTTAGTCAATACCTTAGAAACTTAAGTAGATTGATGATATTTTTATTTTTACCAATCTACTTAAAACTATTTGTAATAGTTTTTGATAAAAATAAAACTGAGAAAAACTACTGCTGGATTATTTACAACTTGCAAATTATAGTAAAAGGTTAAAGATCTTCAACTTTACAATATTAACTGCTATAACTTTGAAAATCTCTACATGTCTCTACCACTCAAAGAAATATACGAAAGTCTTCTGGAGCTGACATTTTTTCCTGAAATACTTACTATTCTGTATTTGCAAAAATGAAGGGAATTTCTACATTTCTAACTATGTCAAACATTCAAAATTTCCTTACTTGCAAACAAATGGTATTCCAATGCGAAGTTCCTATTCAACTCATCTTTGTAACTTAATTTTTCCTACAGAATTTCTTAAAAGTTTTCTGGTGATGATTTCAATAAATTTCAGCACACTTTCAAATAAATTGATGACGTTATTACTTTTAACAATTATAATCTCATAGAAAATTGCAACATCTACCCCGACTGGTTAAAACTTCATAAGACCAATAAAAATTAAAGACTATCTTGATCTTAGTATACATATAATCTTAAAGAAATTAGACCTTTTCATAAAAGAAGATAATTTTCATACTATTAAACTTATAAAATGTAACTCCAACATATCTAAAAAGTTGTAGCAAGTACAATTATTTACCACATTTTCAAAATTAAAAAAGTTTATACTGAAATAGACAAGAAGAAGAAATCTTAATTCTCACGAAAATTTTAAAAAAATAAAATTCTAATTAAGTTCATTAACTTCTTCTTCCCAGGATGGGCCCTTGCCTTCCTCAGAATCGAATTCCAAGCTCTCCTATCCCTGGCCATGGACATCCACTTGGTTATTTTTAAAATTCATAAGTCTTGTTTCCAAACAGTCGAACCACCTAAGTTTAGGTCTCCCTCTTTTTTGGATGCCAAATGGTCGGGCTGAGAAGATCTTTTTAGTTATTCGATTTTCATCCATTCTGCACAGGTGCCCTGCCCATTTAATTCTCTGAATCCTTATATATCTATTTCTTTAAAGGATTTATAAAGTTCAGCGTTACTTCTTCTCCAGATATTATTACATTTTATGCCACCATAAATACTTCTCAAAATTTTTCTTTAAAAGACAGAAATGATATTTTTAGCTTTTTCTGTCATTGCCCAGGTTTCAGCAGAGTATGTAAGAATGTTTCTGATTAAGCTTTTGTAAATTAAAATCTTCGTTTTTCTGCTAGTGAAGTTAGACTTCAAGTATTTTTTCGAGATCGAAAAAACATCGGTTAGCATCTGTGACTACTACGGATCTCGGGCATTAAATCATTGAGAGTATTAATTTCTGATCCTAAATATTTAAATTTACTAACAGTTTCAAATTTTTAATTCCCAATTTCAAAATAGAGGCTGCTGTTATTCCCATATAGCATGTATTTAGTTTTATTTTGGTTGATTGCTAGATGCATTATGCTGGCTGCAGCCGCTAGAGATGTAAAAGCCTGTCTAAGTGACTTGGGAGTGCATGCGACTATGTCAATATTGTCAGCAAACTCAAAAACCTGAAGAGACTTGTTAAAGATAGTTCTATGAGTATTAATGTTGGAGTTTTTTATGATTTTTTGGAGGGCAAGGTTAAAAAGGCAGAAGGCCAGTGCATCACCCTGTCTGAGCCCATTTGAAACAACATAGGCTCAGAAAGCTTATTCTGGATTTTAACCCTATTTTTTGTCTGGGTAAGAGTAATGGTGACCAAATTTATAAGTTTTTCAGGTATTGCAAATTCTCTCATAGCTTCAATTAAATATTTTCTGTTTACTAAATTGTAGGCAGTCAATATCAACAAAAAGGTGGTGCTTTGCAATGCCATGTTCATTAGTTTTTTCCAAAATTTGAATGTCTACAACTAGCATTGGGAAATGAAAATCCATCTTGTGCTATTGTATTCAGATGGTATACAGAATTTCACAGAGGTTGCAACTCTCTTCAGGGTGAAGAACACACAGGAAGGCCATTGTCAGCAGTAATCCTGGATAATGTGTCGTCAGCAGTAATCTCGTATAATGTGTCTGGCCATACGGAAAATATTTATCGATGATAATCGCTGCATCTACCAAATAATACAGAAGGAACTTAACATTGGTTCCACTGCCATATATAAAATTATTCATGAAGAATTGCATATGAAAAAAACTAGTTTGCCTTTGGGTTCCTGATAATTTAACTGAGCACTAAAAAGAGGAGCATGTCAGAATCAGTGAAGAAACCCTTAAATTACTTAAACATAGTGGCCACCACATTATTTCTAAAATCATAACCGGTGATAAAACGTACATACTATTTTTGATGTTCTAACATGTCGAGGAAATAAAAATATGGATCTTTGAAGATAATCGCACACCCAGAATGGTGAAAATACAATGTGTCATGTCTTAAAAAAGTAATGTATGCAATTTTCTTCATAAGTATAGGACTGGTCAAAGGCATCAAGCTGGAAGAACAGAAAACAGTCACAGCTAATAATAAATAATAAAATGGAATAAATAATTCTGCAAAGAGGGTGGGTTGTATTCAATGCACTTGTGCATAAGAATGTTACTTTAGGGTTTTGATAAAAGGGTAACAGAATTTGCGGGTAAGAATGCCCTTCCGTCCGAAATGAATTCAAGGAATTAGAATCAGAGGTATCTCTTTCAAAGTCATTTAAATCCGTGATTTTAAAGTGAACATCGAAGGTTTTAGCAAATTGGATTTGCTTTAGCTGAAATACATCTATCTGGTGTTCCATTTAGTACTATATATCGCTCCTACCAAATGAAACACCACAGTGCTAGTTGCAAATGCAGAATCATGCAGTTTGCAGAAGAAAATGGAAATCGTGCTGCAGCAAGGTGTTGGTGAAAGATGGAATGGATGATAATTTATTTATGGATCAAAGTAATAATGATAGTGAAGATGAAACAGAATTAATGATTTGTAAATTTGTAAATTTTGATACCCTTTAGATCATAATTGCTCTTTAGTTCATAATTTTAATTGTAATTTTAATTTTGCATGCCATCTTACCAGATTTCAGTTGATGATCTATAATCCGGAAAAACCCTTAATCCAGAATCGCCAAAGTCACGACGAGTCCAGATTACATACTTTGTATTGTATATAATGTGAAATAAACTGTAAATAATACGTTTAAAATTCATCCCATATTCAATTCAGAACTAAACATATGTAAAAAACCAAAAGTACAGTAGTAAACTGCAAGGAAAAGGGGCAAAACATGCCAACACCAAAAATGAAATTTACATCTTTCACTGCATCATCATCGTCGATGAAATTTACATGATGGTAACATTTGTAAGCAACTGAAAGCAACCACGTTTGCAATTTTTCGGAACAAAAAGGACAGTTGCAATTGTTGTAAGAATTTATATATTACATACATAATTTTACAGTTAAAGCAGTGAGTGTTGATTTTTGTAAATGCTTCTAATGAAATGACTAAAATATATTGTGATCGAATTCATCATTGTGATCAAAAGTTAATCAATGTTGTTTACATTTTAATCAATTTTTTATTATTTTATAATTACTTTTAAATTATGACAATTCATTAATTATCAATAGATGTATATTTTTAATTACAAGTATTTTCAAGTTTTAAATGATGATGAATTAGCTTCCCATGCTACTTAGAATAACCTTATCATTTTGAGGCACACAAATAAATATTTAGGGTCATTGTGACTTATAATAATCTGACATCTAGTGGTGAATAAAAAAATAACTTGTCAGGCAAATGTTGTAAGCATTAATAAATGGTATGGGTTTTTGAAGTAACAGGCAAGTTATATTTTGTTTTGGATTTGAATTCTAGTGAATGCACTGACTGCATTTTCATTTCAGGGTTCTCCCAGATGTACAATAAATACTCGCCAGTTTCCCTTATAAAGTCCTCCACGAATGCATTTTTCATTAGGCACACACCCTTGTTTACCTTGTTACCATAAACAAACTGAATTATAGTTCCAAAAACAATTTTTAGAGTTTGAAGCAAATACAAAAGTAATTCATATTTCAAAATGCATTTAAGTCTGCACACAGGAATTTCTGCCTAATCCTGAATACAAAGTGATTCCTTTGCTGCATAATGGTATGCTAAAGAGGGAAAGGTTAGGAGAGATTAATAATTACCTTGTAATAGATAAATATTTTCACAGATAGATTGCCTCTATGAAAAGATACTTTTAAAGATGTGAGATCTTATCAGAAAAGACATATTACAATTAATTTTGATTAAAGGGAACATAAATTTTCAACTTCAAGGTTAATTAAATATCTCTCTATGTAGTTTGAAAAGAGCTTAAACAGTAAATAAATGCTACAAGCAAGGGTTGGAGGTGGGACTATTCTTTTTCTATATTAAGTAACTATCTGCCTAATAATTTCATCTTTCCATCAATGATGCATTAAAACATCTACCTCAAATGTTACTGCCCTCCCAAACAAAAATGGAAGTACTGCTCATCTCTGATCTACAGCATAAACATCATAAAAAAAGAGGTACTTTTAAATTTTGCTGGCGCAAGCGATAAAGTCGCCAAAATTGGTACAACCAATGCCAAATGCAATATTCTCACTGCTAACCTTTTACGCCTCATTTTCAAAACAAGTTGCAGCCATTTCAATGGCATACAATTACATAGAACTTTTACCAGATAGTTCAATTTTATGCCCTAAGGCCATTCGTGGTAATTAAGTCAATTAGGATGCAATCACACCACTCACCCAAAGGCAAAAATCTAGAAAATTCATCAATTTTAATGAGAAAGCACTGCGGTTCTACATAATTTATCAGTAAGCTATTCATACGAATTGAAATAATTTTTGCATTTAAACTTGTATTCCAAATTAAGATTTAACTTGAAATTAATGTAGATAATTACTGAGAGAATTAGTTTTTTGTAGCATAGTTTAAGTGAGATCAGATTACTTGGGGTTCACATGATGTGAAACGGCGAATCAGGATGTTGTACCATGAAAGTATAGTAAATTCTTAAATTAATGTCTTTTTACAAAATTTTAAACAATATTAAAATGTTTATGCCTTCAAAATAAAAATAACTTAGAACTAACATATATCAGCATTTTTTATATGTATACTGTGTGTTGTCGCCAATAAAGCCTGCTTGGGGAGATTTGCGCCGGCGAAACGGAAAAGTACCAAAAAAGGGCAGCTTCTTAGAATTATAGTCAAATAAGTTTTTAAAAAGATTCACGAAAAATGCAGCACAACAGTACTATAGATCCAGGGTCGTAGCTAGGGTTTTCAGCATCCAGGGACAACTGAAGATTTCGCGCCCCCTACTGCTTGTCAAGGATGGAAAACATTTAATTCTAAAATGTCGTAACATCAGTTCGGCGCCCCTTGGATTCTGCACCCGGGGACAGATGCCCCTCTCTAGCTACGCCCCTGCATAGATCATAATATGATTTTTTAGTTATTTAATGTTTTCAAGCCTAATATACTGAAAGGTACTAAATCTATAACTAACATACCTAAGTTGAAATGCTTGTTTAATTCTTCGATAAAGATAACACTCAACGTATAGCCATGATGACACATACCATGCAGGAGTAAAACCATATAAAATCTTTTGTTTTTCTAAATAGTCATTCCAAAATTTAACATCAGGAAGATCATCTATAAGTGGTAGAATTGGTTTATTGGTTACCATTTCATTTTGAAGAGCAGATAATTTCCCAATAATTTCTTTTGCCTCTTCTTTAGCAACCTAAAAATACGTAAATTAAATTATTATAACATAATTTCAATGCATTGCATATAATATAAAATATTACTTAACATAACATTCTGCAGTAATACTTAAGAATTCCTTTGACATAAAAATTCAAGGGTGCCCAGTGATTTTGCCTGTTACATTTTTACTAGTTACTAATAACTATTCTTGCGTCTCTTCTTTCTTTCTTAATTATTAACACATATTAATATCATGCATGAATATTTGTTTTCTTTTGCAGAAATTTACAATTTATCAATAATCCAAAACAGAAGGAAGGGGAAAAAAAACATGTTGATTAACATTTTGTCAATTTTTCCTATAAATTACATTTGAATTGATATTTTAGTCAAACGATTTAAAATTTCACATTTTAAATTTATCTCACTCGCATTAACTTTATTCACTTAATAACATTTTTAAGCACAATCAACATATTCAAAACACTTATATTTGGAAATTAAGAAGTTCCCTTACGCAGAAGCAGAATAATTTAATTTCAATAATTGTTTTCCTTATCCAAAAGCAAACAAAAAAACCTTTACATACAGAGTGCATTTTTTATTATAAAAACTCAAATATAAGAAAGAGAAACGAAAATTTCCTTGAAACAATGTCACAAACACCTAGCGATTTTAGGTTTATTAGAAAATACAAATTAACGAGCTAAATTTTATCACGTATTTCCTGTCTTCTATTTCATTAAATTTGAGAATCTGTTTAAAAACAAAAAATGAACGAAGCTGACAAACAACATTTCGACTGAGCGAAAAATGTTAAGCTCAGCAGTCTGAAGAAACAATAAAGGTAATCAAACTGTTGACATTTCATTACAATTCACACGTTAAAATATTCTTACAGTTTTAGAAAATTTTAGTAGTTTTTATATATAGAATCAATTATATTGTACTCTGAAGAAACATTTATAAAGATAATTTAACCCATGAGAATAACTTCATTTTGGCATATCGGGACACATGTGTAGTATATTTGATCCCACCATCGATATAAACTTTTCTTTAATTATTAATGCCTGAAATATGTTTCCAGAATACATCTTTTTTTTTTTTTTTTTTCATTCCATGTCTCAAATAATAGCCAAAAATATCAATACAAACTTAGGGACATGCAAGTTTAAATAAATCACAGCCATCTTCTTTGAACTGTAAGAAAAATAAAAAATTAACTTTTTTTAAAAATATAAAATAGTCCTTTAGCAGGATCAATAGAATTCATTGTTGAAATGAATGAATTCTATTGATCCTGCTATTCAGTTCACTTTTGAACTTGAGACTTGCAATTCTCTTCCGTTTCTCGACATTCTGGCCACACGTAACACATCCAACTTCAGTACTACAGTTTACCGTAAACCTTCATCGGTTTGCCTCCCACCACACTTTAAATCATGTATCCGACTAAACAAAAGTTAGCTTCATTTTATTCCTATGTTTTCCGTGCTCTTCAAGTTTGCTCCTCCAAACTAGCCCTTGATGAAGAACTAAATTATTTAAAAGCAATAGCTATTGACAGGGGCTTTTCACCCAACATTATTAATCAAGCAGTTAAAAAATTCTCATCTCAACACACTAAAAGCCACTCTTATTTAGGAGATATAAAATTCTGTTGTCATTCCCTTCTTTCCATCAATTAGCTATAAAGTTTGCACATATTTTGCAGAAAGTTTAACTTTCGGGTTGTTTATTCTCCCATCAATAAAATTCCAACTTCTATACTCAAGGACCCCATTCCGGATATGAATTCCTGGGGTATTTATAGGATTCCTTGCCAGTGTGGTTTAATTTACATTGGCCAAACTAGGAGAGCCTTAAAATTTTCGCGTCAAGGAACATGAGGCATATGTTTAGAAAAAGGAACACAGAAGTCTTTCTGTTGCTCAACATTGTTGGTCCGAAAATCACACTTTCAAATTTTCCTGCTACCAAAATTATTCAAAAAACATCTTCCATTGGAGAACTGGATTTTCTAGAGGCATTTCACATTCATAAAAATCTTTCTGTTCTAGTTAACGATCCTAATTCCAATCCAAATTTGCCTTCGGCTTTTAGAGAAATTATGTTTTAGTTCTGGTTTCGCCAACAGATGGCGCCACTTGCTTATTCTTGTCCAGGCTTTCTTATCTTATCTAATCATTATTTCCTATCTTGTTCATTTGCGGTTTTGCAGCTGAAGATGATGGTTCGGTAAAATCATCAAAACTAGTCCTGTGAAAATTTTGTAGGTATAACGCTGATTTTTGCTGTTTGACTTCTGAATTAGTATTTATTCGGCGTGTTATTGTGTCTTAAATATTAAGCTCTCTCTCTCTCTCTTTTTTTTTTTTTTTTTTTTTTTTTTTGTAAATTTGATACCCTTTAGATCATAGCTGCTCTTTATTTCACAAATTACGGTTTCATATTTTCAATTTTATAATTTCTGCATGCCATCTTACCAGATTTAAATTGATGACCTATAATCCGGAAAAAACGATAATCCGGAATCGCCAAAGTCCCGACGAGTCCGGATTAAAGACTTTTGACTGTATTGAGAAAAATCTGTGTGAAGGTTTTTGTTTTTTCCTCACAAAATATTTCTTTTACTATAATTCATAAATAGAACAGCAGCTAAGGGTTGTAAAGATTGCCAAACAAATGCCTTCTGATAGCTCGCAAAGTTGCCTAAGTGTGGGTGATTTTTCTTGCAGGCGTATATAAAAAGAAAGGGCTCAGGTTATTTTCACAAATCAGTAACATACAAAATAACTCAATATATAATATGTGTATAAAAGACTTTTCTTTTGTATGTAAAATCGGTACTTATGTATTAACGGCACCGCAGCAGAAAGTTGCACCAATAAAGAGCAATCCTGTTATTCACACGAAGTTATCTTTTGGATTCCTTTTTGCCTTGTTTGCTGATTTTTGACGCCATTTTTTAGTGCTACGAAAATGCATCTTTGGGATTTGCCAAACACAGAAGAAGATAGAATTTTATTTTTTTCAGGAGCGAAATATTAAAAAAAAAAAAAAAAAAAAAAAAAAAAAAAAAAAAAAAGAAATGTACCAATTTGCATGATATGAAACTTTATTTTGGTAAACTTACAGTTTGGAAATGTGATTTAAGACAGTATGATCAGCAAGTGAGACTTGACAACTGGTTTGAAAGAAGCAGAATTCCATTTTGTTCAGCTTTGAGATACATATACTGCTGGTGTGAAGAGTTGACGTCGATTAAATTTTGTGAAAAGCAACTTGATTTATAGAATAAAACTGTTATAGATTGGAAATATTTCATGTGTGAATTATGTGTCTTGGATATGGAGAATAAACCAAACAAGAAGGTAGGTGAACCAGATTGCATTGTGAAAATTGATGAAAATTTGTTTACTAAGTGTAAAAATAATTGTGGTCGAGTATTACCCAAACAGTGGGTGTTTGGTGGTATATGTAGAGAAAAAAAAGATTTGTTTGTTATCACTGTTTCTAATAGAACTGGCTCTATCCTTCTTAATAAAATTATTGAAAACATTGCAGATGGTAGCACAATTTATTCTGACAGTTGGAATGGTTACCAAACAAATAGTGTTGAGAATCGAGCATTTAATTAATATTATGTGCAGTTTCAGTGGCATGATTGTTTTAGTATGTTTTATGCATCTGGCATCACTTATTTTTGTCATTCTAAAATTTGTCATGTAAACAGTAAGACGTATGTAAGTTCTCTCTACTTTTTTTTGTTAATAAAATACAAAAATCAATTAGCCATCGCTCTGCACATTAATTTTATAACAGGTTATGGGTTTTAGCGACGTTTAACTGTGTAATTAAATTAACGATGGCTATGTTGACGTATTTAAATCACGGATTTTCTTTTGACATTCGTTTTCGATTTCAACACTTTCATCTGAACAGTAGACGCTACAGTGTACCAATAGCCTTTTATTTTTGCTGCATATTTCCTGTTTAATAACGACGTAATATGGAAGGTAAAAATTTTGTTCAGTGCACCAAATTGGAAGGTTTATCCAACTGGACTGATTGGAAATTTGAAATAAACTCTTTATTTGTGCTCAACGATTGTGCGGACATCTTTGATAATTTCCTTATCGAGCCTAAAGCTCCGGCAGAAAGCGCGAATGAAAAAACGATACGCGAGTACAACGGAGCCGCAAAAGCGTATGTGATCATTCGCACAAATGTATTACCGAATGTGTTAAATTTGATCCGTATGCATGGTAATTCTACACTAGCGATATGGAATGAGTTATTAAGTAACTCTGAGAAGGTGTCAAGCGTAAAATTGGACACTCTTCTGCAACAGTTTTTCACTTTTTGGATCGAGAAAGACGAAAGTGTAATGCAATCACTCGCATTTTTACATACACTGTGGGTAGATCTTCAACGTGAGCAAGAGTTGAGCGGCGAAGGAAAGTTGCCACAGAACCTGCTAGCATTGCGAATCTTATCTATTCTTCCTAATGAGGAATATATAGAGTTCAAATCACAGTAGGACTCAATGCCAAAGATGGAAAAGTCACCTGAAAAACTGTTCGAACAGATCAACATGCGGCTGCAGAGAAGAAATCAAGAGCTTAGAAACGAAAGTACAATAACATTTGTGGCAAATGCTAATTATAGTTCAAAACATGGTGGAAAGAAATGGAAGAAGGGTGGTAAAAAACCTCAATGGTCAGCCAATCCCAACCCTTGACAACAAATAATGCCAAAACGATAAACAAACTTAGTAAGACCAGTGATAGCGTGAAAGGTTTCAATGGCATCTGTTTTTGTTGTAATAAACCCGGGCACATTGGTAAATTTTGCCCAGTTTTTCCTGACATGCCAACCACGATGAATAGCAAAACAGAGAACCTTCTTTGCAAATACTCAATGTAGTGCGTTTGCTTGTCAAGAAGATGATTGTGGATGAAATGTGTGGCTTAAAGACGATGGAGCTACAGCACACATTACAAATTCAGCTGAGTATTTCAAGACGTACTGTCACTTTGACAAACAAGCAGAAGTCACAGTCGGTAACAAACAGATAATACCAGCATATGGCTGTGGGGACATTGACATGTGCGCGATGGTTGGAAACGTACAAAAATCTATTGAGCACCAGTACTGTATGCACCAGAAATTGGCAAAAATTTTTTATCAGCCTCAAAGGCAATGAAGCAAGGAATCTCGAACTTTGGTGATTCAGACGATAGGATTTGTCGTTTCTTTCGCAAGCAGACCCCAGATAATGTACTTTTAGAAGCCCCATGTTCATCAAATGGACTCTTTGAACTATGTGCAAAACCAGTCAAGCCACAAGGGGATTCTGCTGCTGCAGCCTACTGGCTTGACAACTCCTTTTCCTGAGATGGCAATGAAGACGACAACAAAATTGCCATTATCACTTTGGCATCGATGACTTGGGCATCAAGGAATACAATACGTGAAACAGTACTTGCGCCAAAATGGTATAGATTTTATCGATGATGGACTATTTTGTGAGCCATATGCGTATGGTAAACAAAGTCGACGAACATTTAAACCGAAACGATTCAAAACACAAAAGTCTGGTGAGATAATACATGCAGAATTACTCGAATCACCAGTCTTACCAAGAGGTGGAAAAAAGTACATGTTAGTGATTAAGGACGATTACTCTAAGTTTCAACATGTAGAATTTCTGAGACACAAAGATGAGGCTGTGGATAAAATCAAGCAGTTTCTTGTTCGGACCAACAAAGATGGTATAAATGTAAAAGAACTGGTCACAGACGGTGGTCGTGAGTTTGACAATGATAAATTGGTGAAACTGACTGATGATACAGGCATCAAGCTGCGAATCACTATGCCATATACACCAGAACATAACGGATTGGTTGAAAAAGAGAATCATATGATAATGAATGCAGTTCGCACTATGATCAAGGATTCAGGCCTACCTACAGTTTCCTATGGGCAGAAGCAGCTGTCTACAGCTGTCTACAATTCTGAAATCGCACCAAGTAAGACTATAGGAAAATCTCCGTTTGAGGAATGGTTTGGACGCAAGCCGGCACCGGCAATCAACAGAATTTGAGTTTCTGGATCAGCAGCATTTGTACATGTACCAAATGTCAACAGAGGTAAATTAGATGACACAGCTAGCTATAAAGGGCTATTTGGTTGGTTATTGTGATGACGATGGGTATCGCATTTTCATACCATCAAGGAATGATACAAGTTAAAAAGTGCCAACATAGTTTTCAATGAACAGCAAATCGGTCCTACTTCCCAAACCTTTCAAAAATAGCATCTAATACCTGGTTCTAATCAAGCAGTATGAAGTTTATTTTGGAAGATGCACACAATGATGCAGACACACAAGGGGCTGGTGATCTGTGCACTGATGAAGATGAATCAACACAGATGACCGTGCGTACATTGCGAGACCGTTCAACTATCCAACGGCCTGTCAGATTTAATGACTACGACGTGTATAACAGCATTCTGAAGTTGGAAGAGCCTAATACATATGATGAAGCAACAAACTCTCCTGAATATGCCAACTGGAAACGAGCCATTGACAAAGAAATGGCTTCGCATGGCAAACATGGAACATGGCAACTTGTTGAGCCACCTAACGGACATAAAATCCTCGACAGTCGATGGGTTTACAGAGTGAAGACAAATCCCGATGGCTCAATCGAGAGATTGAAGGCCCGGTTAGTAGCAAAAGGGTACACCCAGATGGTGAATATCGACTACGAAGACGATGAATATTGACTTCAGCCCGGTGTGTCGCTATGACACTATTCAAGCTCTAATTGCAATGGCAGCCAAGGAGAATCTCAACTTATATCAAACTGACATGGAGACAGCATTCCTTTACAGTGACCTAACTGAGGAGATCTACATGTATCAACCTGAAGGCTATAACGACGGAAGTAAGCATGTATGCAATGTGCTTCGACCTTTATAGGGCTTGAAACAATCTGGACGATGTTGGAATGCCAAGCTTACTGATGTGCTGAAGAAACATGGTATGATACAAAGTAAATCCGACAACTGCCTGTTCATACGAAATGATTATGGACATAAGATGATGATGGCATTGTCGCTGTTCAGGACAAAGCAGCATTCTTCACATTTATGGACGAGCTCAAGCAACATTTTAACATTTGAGTAACGATGTTAAATTGTTTCCTTGGTTTACAAATTGAACGTTTGAAAGACAGCTCATTCTTCCTGCACCAAGAAGCATTTACAAGAAAGATATTAGAACGATATGGAGATGCTAACGACATCACACATCCCAGTAAAGAAGTCGAGTCTCAAGGTTGACTATGGTCAACCGAAGTGACGATGGCATGATCAAGATCAAGGAGGCGAAGCCTCTCAGCAGTCAAATTCCATACCGATCAGTAGTTGGCAGTTTTGCTGTACTTGGCGATGGGGACCCGACCAGATATTGCTTACGCAGCGAGTTTGATGTCTCGAAAGCTGAAACAATCCTACAGAGATTGATTGGGAAATTGTACAGACAACATTAAGGTACCTTCGCAATACCATAGGACACGGCATTGTGTACAATAATGAAGATGATAGAAGTTTGATGTTGTGTTAGTGATGCAGATAACAACAGCTGCACAGAAACACGCAGGTCTTGAACAGGTGTTATTTCTTTCTATGGTGGAGGCGCAATTACGTGGCGAAGCAAGCTACAGGAGGCCATATCCAATTTGACGACAGAGGCCAGAGTTCATGGCAGCAGCTGATGCTACGAAAAGACCTGATATGGTTGAAGAGCTTGTTCAATGAGATAGCTAATAATGTCTTATTGCCTATCCTACAAATTGATAATCAGAGTACTATTAAGTACATCAAAAATCCAATGTTCCACGCATGCACAAAGCACACTGACCAAAGGTACAAGTTTGTGCAAGATGAGTTCTCGAAGGGACGTTTTCAATTAGGCTATGTCAGAAGTAATGAACAATGAGCAGATATTCTGACGAAGGCGTTTCCAGCACCTCAGTTTCATTTCCAGAAGAAGTTGATTGGTGTAAGAACAGTCAAATAAGTAAAGGTTAATCTGTATGAACAATGACTATTTTCATGCTCGAAGGAGGCTGTTGGGAATCGAGCATTTAATTAATATTATATGTAGTTTCAGTGGCATCATTGTTTTATTATGTTTTATGCATCTGGCATCACTGTTATTTTTGTCATTCTAAAATTTGTCATGTAAACAGTAAGACGTACGCAAGTTCTCTCTACTTTTTTTTGTTAATTAAATACAAAATTTAATTAGCCATCTCTCTGCATGTTAATTTTATAACAAATAGAATTGAAAAAGAAGGAGTCTTAGATGCTAAAGTTAATCATAAATGCAATTTTAATGATCATTATACAGGAGTCCATACACAAACAGTTGAGAGAATGTGAGGCAGTGCTAAATGGAGGAACAAGAGACATAAGGGGACAGCAAGACATCATTCAGAATCTTATTTAGCAGAATTCGTATGGCGACAGCATCAGGTCAAAGAAAATATAGAGTGTTTTGAATCTATGTTAAACTCTATATCGGCCCATTTTCCACCAAAATCCAATTGACTACTCTGAATTTAAATAAAGTGTTTCAATTTATGATTTGTCGCAAAAATTTTAGCTGTAGATTGGTGGCACTTAAAAATCGCCAAATCTGCAGCTGCGGTGGTGTTAATATGGAAGTACTGTAAAAACTCACACTGCATAACCTGATTTTCGTAAAATATAAGTATATATTCAAAAAGAATTATTCAGATAATTTTAACAAAATCTAATACAGCTATAAAACATAACAGCTCCATACCTCTCCATATGTCATTTCAATAGAATGCTTATCTTGACACAAGGTATCCACAACTTTGACAAGAATAACAGGTAGTCTGTCTTTTATAGTTATATAAGCAAAGCTTCTGAAAAATACACAAAAATCTTTATTAAATTCTCACATATTAAAAATGGATATAAATTTACTTTTGTTGTATTATTATTTTTTATAGCTGAATAGCCTGGGTACTGTTCTGTTATTGCGACTGGACTCATTGCCAAATGTTTTGTTGAACTCACCAAGGTGTTGTTTATATGAAGTCACCAATTGCAGCGAAAGTAAGAAAATTGTAGCGAAAATGTATGCGCAAAAGCACCAAATCTAGCAACCGTGCCCATTTAACAGAGCGCTAAATTTAGTGTACGCGTTGATTTCAGATTGCGTAAGCTTATATAGTTCGATATTTCTTAAGATGCCATTGAAATACTAGTTTAATTTTTAAATCCTTTTTTGATATCCTATGGATTTAACGATTTGGGAATTGCCCATGACGAAAAGTCGGCAATAGAATTTTGGGTAAAGTGCAGAATCACCCACTGCTTGACGCTTTTTAAGAATTGCACATACTCGGTATCCACGTGCACATCGACCTACTTTCACTTTAAAAAAAAATCGGCTGATCTTCAGAATATGGTAACTTGTAGTTTGGCGACATTTTGGAGGCAATAAATGTTACTACCTGGGACTTTGGTAATAATGTGAGCAGTACTCAGTTCCGATTACGCATTATTTTGTGTGAGGGAAATGAGAGATCATGGGATATGTCATGTGATATTAATGGACGAATTACGGTTCTTTAATCGGAAAAGGGAAATCGGGAAAAAATCTGGAAATTTTGTATTTGGCTTTATTCTGTGTTGTGTGAAACAGTGTTCATTAATTTTTGGATCCCATGGCTTTAACTAAAGTGAATTCGAAATGGGTATTAGTGGGATTGAAAGGGGTAGGGTAGTAATAAGTGTTTCTTTAAGGTTGTGCAGATAGAAGTAAAGATGTTTTATTAAGTTATTTATTTACCTGGTACCTTGCTGTGAACTATAAGTAT